GTAGGATCTTGGGAATTTTGCATCCAGCTTTATGCATTCAGTCTCAGTAGCATTTTCTCTTCCCCTCTATTTCTCTCTTTTTTAAAAAAAATATTTAAATTAGAAACAATTTTATTTTATATGTCAATCCAAGTTCCCTCTCCCTCCCATCCTCCCATGGCCCCCACTGACCCCCATCCCATCCCTCTTCTGCTCCATAGAAAGGGAGAGGCCTTCCATGGGGGAATCTGCAAAGTCTGTCACATCATTTGGGGCAGGGCCTAGTCCCTCCCCCGTGTGTCTAGGCTGAGAGAGTATCCCTCTATGGGGAATGGGCTCCCCATGTCCATTCATACACTATGGATAAATATTGATCCACTACCAGGGCCCCATAGACTGCCCAGGTCTCTTAACTGACACCCACATTCAGGGGGCCTGATTACAGGGGGCTGTAAATCTGGGGCCCATGAGCTCCCCGTGTTCAGGTCAGCTGTTTCTGTGGGTTTCTCCAGCGTGGTCTTGACCCTTTTGTTCCTCACTTCTCTCTACAACTGGCTTCTGGGAATTTGGCTCAGTGTTTGGCTGTGGGTGTCTGCTTCTGCTTCCATCAGCTACTGGATGAAGGCTCTAGAGTGGCATATAAGGTGGTCATCAATCTCATTATAGGGAGAAGGGCATTTAAGGTAGCTTCTTCACTATTGCTTAGAATGTTAGTTGGAGGTTATCCTTGTAGATCTCTGGACATTTCCCTAGTGCCAGATTTCTCTCTAAACCTACAAGGCTCCCTCTATGATGGTGTCTCTCTTCTTGCTCTCCTCTATTCTTCCCCTGACTCAATCTTCCTGCTCCCTCGTGTCCTCCTCTCCCCTCCTCTGCTCCCCTTCTCTTTCTCCTAACTCCCCCCCTCCATGCTCCCAATTAGCTCAGGAGATATTGTCCCTTTCCCCTTCTCCAGGGAACAATATATGTCTCTCTTAGGGTCCTCCTTGTTTCCTGGCTTCTCTGGAGGTGTGGGTTGTAGGCTGGTAATCCTTTGCTCGGTCTTCTCTGTCTCTTTTGAAGGAGGCATGTGATGTCATTTTGTCTACCTACATTGAGCCTAATTAACTTAACTAGGCTCTATACAAGTGACTAAACATGACTCAGTAATATGGCTTTTTAAAGGTAAGGAGTCAGTAACAATAGAAAGTAACCCATCTCTCAACTTCAGCTTAACGACCAAATGTTTTCTTTAAAAAAATCTTGATGTAAAACTTTAAAATTATTTTGGTTGTTATTGTCTGTGGGGGGGGATACACATGTCACAGTGCCCAGGTGGAGGTCAGAGGACAGGGATTTGGCTCAGGTTGTCAGGCTTGCAGCACACAGTAGTGAGCACCTTTACTGGTTATACCTTCCCACGCCCTATTGTAGGATAGGATATGCGTGAAACGGGAAAGGGAAAAGATAGATGGTAAGTGCCATTAGGATTTTCGTCTTGTTAGTAATTATGAAACAGCATCAAACATAACCAGGCCAGTACTTTAGTTCAGAGGTCAGTGTGACATCCACTCTGACCCTTGTCCCTCTCCCGTTTACTTCCTCTGTCCTAGGTCCCCTCCACCAGCTGGCCTTAAATAGACCAGCTGTGCCATCTCATTTCTCCACGCAGACACACTCAGAGACCCCTGCTCAAGAACACAAGCTCTCACAGATCAGGCCTCGGTTTCCCATATTACGTTCTTCATCTCCAAGTCAATCCATTTTCTAGCCATAGTGGTGGGTATTCTGGGACAACATTTAAGATGTTTTAGACCAACCTTGACGTGAATCTGGGGTTTCCTGGTCTATAAAATCAGAAGTAACCCATGCTTCCCAGGCGTTGCTGTAAGGGAAAATTAGATGAAATCATATATGCAAGGTGTTGGGCAAAGTAACCCAGGATCTAATGCTCTGTAACTCAATACCACGGCTCTTATTACTAATATTGATGTGCGCCATTGTCAACCCCACCCCCTTGAGCTTAATGCCTTCACACCAGCTTCCCTCCTCCCACCACACCTCAAAGTGTTCTTCCTGAGCACAGTGGCCATGCTCTGAAAGGAGTATCCATTTTGCAATTTAATCTTGGCTTCCTAATTGGACTACATGCTACCCGAGGCCAGGGCTAGTGCCTTATAATTTATGATCTTGCTTAAGGATACAGTCAATACAGTGTCCGAATAGAAGACAGCAAGTGGGATGTGTTCACTCCACATCCAGATTCCATTCCTCTCCTGCACTGTCCTTTACTCCAAGAAATCAATATAGACTCATTCCTTTGTCTAACCTTTGTGGAAACTACTGACCAAAATAATATGTACAACATAAAGTTGACAGAAGTGAAGGGGCTTCCCCATCTTTTAAGTACAACTAAAACGCTAAATGTTTTATGTAAGACAAGCAGAGAATTCTACAAAGAGTCAGACCATCTCTAAGCTTAGGAGCCAAAATAACCCCACACAGTCCTAAGTTCCTTGAGTTTTCATTTCGCCTCATATGTTCCAGACCTGGGAGTTGAAGAAATACTAAAGTATGGACAACAGTCCCAGCACAGCCTGGTGTCTCCAACCAAAGCCCTAGAACTACATGACTCCAGGTAAACTCCACAGGAAAACCTATGGCTTTGCCTTTGCCCATGCTGGCAAAGACTGAGCAGGGAAATGGTGTTCTTTCTTTAGCAGGTTGTGATAAGGAGATACCTTCCCCTGTCCTAGCAATGCTGGCAGAAACTGCATAGCAGCCTAGGCTCCTAATTACTCCACACATCTCAACGTTCTGCTGAGTGGTATCATAGGAAGCCTGGCAGGGAGTAGAAACCTTTATCACTACCCAGAGAAAAAGGACTACACATCGTCCCATCCCTCACCCATCCACCTTGCTACCCGGGGAGCAAAGCAGACCTCCTGCTCCGCCTGGCCTGCAGCAGGATCAGCTGGAAGAATGTAGAGGAGGCCCAAGGCTCCTGCCCCCTTCCAGCAATAAGGAAGAGTAGTTTTACCCGCTGCAGTTGGCAATGGCTAAGTGGGGAAGTGGATTTTTACTCCTGCTCCACAGTATGAGGCAATGACATGTTTTATTTCCTGGGGTGATACCAAAGAAAGTCAGGTGTAAAGGATATTTTAAATAAGGCCCAATGAGTCTTTTAACTGAACAAATTGTCTAGGTCGTTATTGAAAATCATTCCACAAAGAACCAAGTCTATCTCAAGCTGAATGAGAAAGAATCTGTATATGCCAAAAGAAATGTTGGAGTTATCTAAAAACCCATTTATAAGCAGACATAGCAACAACAGCAACAAAAAGCTTCAAAAAGTGATATTGAGCACACTTAAAATAGTCAAGAAAACCTCAGCAAAGGCATAAAAAGTATAGAGAAGAACCCAGTGAGAAACATGGAAGCAGAAAGTTTTACGATACAAACCAAAAGCTCTAAGATGGCTCAATATGAGAAGGCTTTTTCTGTGCAAGCCTGGGGACAGGAGTTTGAT